TATCTTGCATTTCATTTCCACAGTAATTTGATGTGCATGAGGACTAGGGTGTGGGGAAATGTAAACAGTGCTCATCTATCACAGCTCTAACTTAGACCAGAGCTCCTGTAATCCAATTCTGAGTAGCACAGTTTATGCCACCAGGCAGTAAACACTAATAATGATCAGCTGCAGGAAGGGGCGGGTCAGTGTCTCTGGGCATGCCCGCAGGGACCAGGTCAAAGCCCCAACGTGCTCATGACTTGCCACAAAACTTCAACCAGTGACAGAAGTTGGCTTTTAAACTATATAGTTTTAAGAGATGTGTCTTTCCAACTAAATTGTTGGAAAAGTCACCTAAATTGGTGACTACCATACCTAAACACCATAGCCATATCCTTGACCTGGTCACCCCTGTACTAACACCAAACCTTCAGAACCTGAGGGCCGAGTCTGACTGTCCAGCTCATCCCCTCTGGAGCCTATGTTTATGTTCTTTTGTGGTGGCAATCAACTATCACAAACTCAGAGTCTCGTCAACACAAATAAGCTCTCTTACAGAGCTGTAGGCCAGAAGTCAGGTGTAGATGGTTTAAATCTCACAGGCTTAAATCCAGATGTTGGCAGGCTGTGTTCAATTCCTTATGACTCCTCGACCTTTGAAAGGCCACCTCCCTTTCATGATCACGACCACTTCTCTCTTCAAAGCTGGCAAAGGCAGACCAGAACCTTCACACAGTGTGTCACAGCGACCTTCCTTATTCTCATCTGCCTCCTGTTGCCTCTTCAGCCACTGCCAAGTCCACTCACAACATTTTCATCACAGTAACTGTGACCATGTCACACCACCTCAAGATTGGGCCTGTTGACTGCTGGTGATCCCTTGCAGAAGAAGGAAGTGGGGAAGGAAGTGGGGAGGGTCATTGGATCCTCACTTGAGAGTCCAGTCACTCACTCTGGCACCTCCTATCCAATTGTTTATGATTCTGCCACAACTGTACATAGCTTCATAGTCTCTGGAGCTGCTAGAGTATACAGACTTTGTAAGACTAACAGAAGGAGTATGTGGAGTGTCCTTCCACATAACCATGGGCAAGTATCATCCACGGTGACATGAGACTTTTGAGTGGTGCACCTGCTTTGGGATCACCCTTTGATCCTGTAAACAGCCTCTTACCCTTGCTCTGTAAATAAGCACGGAACACTCACTGGTTTCTCAAGTTTGGACTTCAGCTGAATAGTACTCTGGTTTGTCATTGGTGCCCTATAAAAAGGGGTGGATGTTTATTCATATCTCCAAGACAAAAAAGAGTTCCCATAATACCCTATGACTACTATGTGCTCACCCCAATAATCTTTCTGCCATCTGTGTGCAACCCTAATTGCCCTTTGCATGTAACCTGACTTATTCACAGATTCTAAGGGTTGCCTGGGGGCCTCTTTGGTAACTATCATTGTACCTACCACGGATCCCAATTGTGGTAATCCTTCTACTGTCTGGGACCAAAAATCTACTCTTCTTATGTCATAGTTAGCTTTAGCTATCAACTTGACACTCCCAGGAAAAGGGCAACTCAACTGAATAATTGCCTCCATCAGATCTGGCTGTGGGCATCTTGCATGTTAACTGATACAGGAGGGCCCAGCCCACTGTAAGCAATACCACCCTAGACAGGTAGGACTGGACTGTATGAGAACACAGTTGTAACCACAGCTCCAGGTGATCTCTGGCCTTTGTATGAGCACACGCACACACACAGAGACACACAAGCACATACACACACATTCACACACAAATGTTTTTTTAAAGGCTGACTCTCTGAGTCTACTCTGAACCTGCACACAAGCCTCTTGGAAAATGGTCAGAGAACATACCATTACACACAACCTTCATGTTGCCCTCCAGGTGGACAGCACTCCCTTCACCTGTCATTCTGCTGATACTTGCACTCTCCTACATGACAATTGCTGTTCTCAGTCTTCCACACCCTCCTTCCCTATCCACACCTTCAGCCAATGGTCTAGTTCACAGGGAAAACAGAAGTGACCAGAAAAGATGCTTCTGCGGACTCCTTCAAGCAAGTGTCCATGGACACTGTCTCCCACTTGATACTCTGTGAATGGTGCTACCTTTGTCCACAGACAGTTCTTCCTCTTCTGTTCCAGCCCTTACATTCTTGGCTTGTTCTCGTGTTGGTCAGTCCTTTTGTGGCTAGGGCAAACTACCCAACAGAAAGAACTGAAGGGAGGAACTCCTTTGTTTCTGTTTTTTGCTCCTGGCTTCAATCCATGGGCAGCTGGTTCCATGTTTCTGGGCCTGTGGAGAGGCCGAAAATCATGGAAGAAAGCTCCAGTGGAGGAACAGCCAGTTGACACGGGAGCCAGGAACCAGAAAGTCTATACCTGAATGAACCAGCTCCCTACATCCTCTCTTTCACCTGGGACCCACAGCCCATTGAGTGGCACCCACACCCAGGGAGTCATGCCCTCTGAACTCACCCTCTCTGGAGTCATCATCACAGACAGGCGCAGAGCTTAACTTCACTAGTCTCTTAGGTGCTTCTCAATCCAATCACATTGACAAGCAAGCTCAACCGTCACAATTCCCACTGAAAAACTATGTGCTGTCTTACACAAACAAATTCCTCTGTTGACCCCACTGTCAGAGCTAGCACACCACTTTCTCCTATTCTTTAGGGAAGAGCTCCCCAAAAGAACATTTCCCATCTCCTATCCCTCTTTTTCAATTCTCCATCGATGTACTGTGAAACAGACAGCTTTTGTTCAAGTTGGCAGTGGCTGTTGGTCCTGATGTCTTTACATATTGGTGGCTCCGTGCACTTGTGACATGTTCTCCTTTTGGCTTTCAGGGATCTGGGCTCTGCTGACCATTCATCAACCTCCTCGCTGTTTCCCCTGGAATGAAGAATCACGTGGATCCTCGTGCATGGATTCTCATGCTTCGTATCTTCTCTATCCACATACACTTCCTAGTAAACCCACCCATTTTCACGACTTTAGATTCATCCGTATTCTGGTATGCCAAAATGCATACCCCAAAATGTAGTGTTTCCCCAGACCCTAGAGTCATAGCCAGTTGTTTATTTCATTTGGAAACTCCAATGTCTGCTAGATTTCTCAAAATGCAGCACGTCCCAAACTAGCTAGTGATGTCGCTAAAACTTCATCAGTCAAATCATGTTCCCTGTAAAATTGTTTTACTTACAATAAGAGCTAGAGTCTTGGGGGACAGGGAGATGGCTCGACAGTTAAGATCATTTGCTGCTCTTCCGGGGGACCCAAGTTTGATTCTCAGCACTTAGGTCAAGTGGTTCCCAACGGCCTCCAGCTCCAGCTCCGGGGATCCGATGCTCCGGCTTCCAGGGACCGCACATACACGCACATAGCCACGCACAGATACACAGACATAATTAAAAATAAAATAAATGTTTACAAAGATCCTGGCCCCATTATCTATGGTCCCCCCGCCCCCTTCCATGCTTGCTCTACTCCAACCACACCGAGCTCCTTCATGCCTTCTGGACCCACTAGGCACTGCTGCTCAGAGTCTGGATTTGCTCACCTCTCTGCATATAACCAAACGATTGCTCCCTTGTTAACATCATTTTCCCAGAGAAACTAGCTCTAGGCCTCTGGGCAGCTCTGAACGACAAGTAAAACTCAAACTCCCCGAGCTTTTTGCTCCCTCCCCAGTCAGCAGCCTCACCGCCTGTCTTCTCTCTGGACTCCAGCGACTCTCATTTCTTCAGCTTTCTGAAGGCAAAAGTTCCAACCTCTGCTTCGATGTCTCTCCATGTGCATCTCGCATGCCAGCTTGAATCTTCCTACAGGCATTAGAGTCGACGTCACTTTCTGAGGAAGCATCCCTCACCACCCTTATCATCTGTATTCTGCCTCTCACAGGACTGACCATAAACTGCTCCTTCACAGAACTTGATGCTACTTGTAACTTCCCAATAAGATTTGTTTATTTATGTATTTGTTTATGTGAGCACTCTGGCTGCATGTCTGTCTGCACACCAGAAGAGGGCATCGGATCCCAGCGTAGACAGTTGTGAGCCACCATGCTGGGAACTGAACTCAGGACCTCTGGAAGAACAGCCAGTTCTCTTCACCGCTGAGCCGTCCTGCCAGCCCCGTAACTTCCCATTTTTGTATGGTTAGTGCTGTGGTGAACATTTCTCCTATTCTACCATAAGCTCCATGAGGGCAGAGAGACTGTATCTGGATGATGTCAGATACCCATGCCAGGTACAGTGTCAGGCTCACGACGTGGTGCAATGAGTAGACATGATTTCATCACATTTCAATCTCACCCTTACTAAGTTTTTAAGGAAAATTATTTATTTGTACTTCTACCAGAAAATAAAGGCTTTGGTCCTAGCTGATGACTATATAAAGCATTACATTTTTCCAGTTTTCCTAGAACTAGAGAATAAGCGAGCAGCAAATAGTAATTATTGGCTCACAGTGTATGATATATTTCTATGGGAATCATTTTTGGAAAAATACAATAAAATATGTTCAAAGGTTTTGAGAACAGCCTGTAGCTATTCTCAAGGCTTAACTTTTCAGCACAGCCATAAAATCCTGGTTGGTTTAAAGGCTCTCAGCCTTGCCCTCAATTCAGAAAGCCTGCAGAAACCACAACAGCACTGAGGTCAGAGTTTGTATTTCCACAGGCAGAGTGCCGAGGGCCCAGCCCTCAGCAGGTCAGAGAAACTGGAGAGGTGATGTAGAGTAGGTGAACTACTAGACAGACACACAGACACGCACGGGAACTTTATCTGAGGGCCAAAGTTTAATGCTTCATTTTGTTTCTCTCTCTGCTGCTTGTTCTGTTCTGTTCTGTTCTGTTCTTTCACCCGCTGTTCTTCTTCCATTTCCTCCCTGATGTATTTCCTTCCACACCTTTCCCTTTCTGTCTCTTACTTTTCTCCTATCCCTTCTATACCTCCGAAGACAAACATTTCTATGCAAAAAAAGATTACCTCACAATCACAAGTTACATATTCTCACTTAGGTCAGCTTCAAGCATTCCGATGGCTCTCACTGTCCCTCTCCCAACAGGAGGATCTCATCAGGGTGTCAGGAAAGGAGAGATGGCGATAGTAGACTTAAGTGAGGGACTTTTTGTTACAAATATATGATGGAAAGTAACAAAATGGTCCAGGAGATCCCAGAAGATTCAACCGGATCTAAGGCAGTTGCCAACCAGGGTCTACCCAGAGAAGTAGAACCACAAAACAGAGCTACAACAATGGAAGGTTTGTTTGATTAGACCTTTCCAATCCTGGGTTCTGTTGTGTCTCCATAGACTGTGTGTCTAGTGTTAGAGCCTGAAGCCTTAGGTAGGTGATAAGAAAAGGAAGATGCTTTATAGCCAGGGTTGATCTTTTACCCACAAGAGACGTTCAGTAATCCCTGGAGACACTGTGGCTTGTCATAATGTGGTTGGGGGGCACTGACATGTGGTGAGTACTTAGGCTGGATTGATGACAGCCCACAGTGCACAGGGAAGTCCTCACAATGAAGAACTATCAAATCTAAAAAAAGTTAATAATGCTGAGGCAGAGAGACGTCATATAAAATGAGGACTACACAGGAACTCCAAGCAGAGGTTGGAGCCCACCGCAGTCAACTAGATGGCTCTTCCTGCTTCTCAAGTTCCGGTAGGCAGCTGTCGAAGCAAATGTCTTTGTCACAGTTGGCCATGCAGCTGACTCTTATTGGAAACATTGAAGAAGGATCCAGGAACAGTGGAAACTGCAGGCATTTCTAGTCACTCAGTTCATGTCAGAGAAGACAGGAACAGAGAACAAAGGGATGTTGGCATGTTCTGTCTCATCTTTACCTCTTTATTCTGTTGAGATCTCAGTCTATGGGATGTACTGCTCACATTCAGTGGGTCTTCCTCCATCAGCTAATGCTCTGGAAATGACCTCACAGACACAGCAACAGGTGGGCCCAATCTCCTAGGGGACTCTAAATCCAATGACGCTAACAGAGATGATTAAATATCATAAGGCCTAGGTGGATTTAATGCCCTTGTGAGAAGAGACATCAATTAGCTTGGAACATCACTGAGCTTAAACAACCCCACCCTCCTCACCCCAGTCATGTGAAACACTGGAGCATATATGAGACCTCAAAGCCCATCTCCACAGTGACACACTTCCTCCAACAAGGCCACACCCACTCCAACAAAACCACAGCTCTTAATAGTGCCACTCCTTATGAGTTTATGGGGGCCAGTTACATTAAAACTACCATACTGTAATAATCTCAACTATCAGAGGACTCAACAAACGTTTGTGGAACAAATGAATGAGCCCCAGTTCTGTCTTATCAATGCTCTTTACAGGGATCTGAGCTGGGCCAGTGCTGTGGTTCCCGCAATAATTACAGCCTCCGCAGTACACACACCCCGTGTGCTAAGCCAACCCAGGCACAGCGAGGAATTAGAACGAGAAAGCAGCTACATTTTGCTGCACAAGGTCATGATCATCCTTTATAAGCAGGCTTTTTTTCTGTACACAGATTAGACATCTTCCGCCCTCAATAGCATTTCATAGCTTTTTCCTGTCTTTATCTCCTAGTTTCAGAAAATGCCAGATGGTTTTCATTGCAGATTAAAAGAAGGGGATAGAGAAACCTAAAGACCCTTTCATTTCCAGAGGAGACTCTTGAAGTGTGCCGAAACCACGTTCTCTCACAGCACACCTAGCAGAGGTCTGTCTTTCAAAATTAAAATTTCACTGAAGGTAGAGTAAAATGTAATGACAATTTAGGAAAGAGTTCCACTCTTTTTAGTAAAAAAGAAAATAGAATCTAAAACTGGATTGTGGCTGATGGCTGTACAACTCCATGAATTTGTTTTTTGTTTTGTTTTTTTTTTAAATCATTGAGTGGTACATTTATATCATGTGACCCTCATAGCATAGAGATGTCATTACATTAATGATGCTGGAGGAAAGTGTTCATCAGTGAGAGCAGAGGAGGGAGGAGTCCGTGAGGGAATCTGACACTTTCCTGGTGATTGTCGAGGATGACGGCGGGTAAAGGGCCTCATAATTTTTTTATATATAATAAAATGCTTTTTAAAGAGACGATGGCCAGGCAGTGGTGGCGCACGCCTTTGATCCCAGCATTCGGGAGGCAGATGCAGGCGGATCTCTGTGAGTTCAAGGCCAGCCTGGTCTACAGAGCAAGTTCTAGGACAGCCAGGGTTACACAGAAAAACACTGTCTCAAAAAACCAAAAAAAGCTCTATCGTCAGTCAAGATAGCTCAGTGAGTAAAGGGACTTGCTGCCAAGCTTGACAAATGGAATTCAATCCCCAGGACTCCTGTGGAGGAAGTACAGAGACTCAAGTCCCTGAAGTTGTCCTCCACATGAACATCATGTGAGTGAGCATGTACACAAACAAACAAATAAATAAATAATGCCAACAAGGAAGTAGAGCAAAAAGAGATTATGACTTCAGTCCTCATATTAAATATTGGCAAGTAGTTGGTATTTTACCACTGTTCTATATCATGAATAATTATGAAAATTACAATAATAATGACATGTCATCGATTGAGTTCTTACCTTGTTCCTAGCACTACGCTAAGCAAGAGCTTAATAAATCCTCTCTCTCTGTCTCTCTCTCTCTCTCTCTCAGACAGGGTCCCACTACATAGCACTGTAGTTACTGGCTGACCTGGAACTCATTATGGAGACCACACTGACCTCTAACCAACAGAGACCCACCTGCCTCTGCCTCTGCCTCTGCCTCTGCCTCTGCCTCTGCCTCTGCCTCTGCCTCTGCCTCTGCCTCTGCCTCTGCCTCTGCCTCTGCCTCTGCCTCTGGAGTGCTAGTAGCTAGTATTAAATTCCTGTGCCACCAACACCCAGCTAAGTGTCATGTCTTTGCAGTGATCCTATAGGGAAGGACTGGTTTTATTTACACCCTACAGATGATGAAGCTGCAAGCTTCAGAAAGCTTAAGAAACTCTCATGAGCCAGGCCCCTTGGCACAGTGAAGCTGTGTGGTAAGTGCTGTGCCAGGAAGAGAATCGGGAGGCTTTGAAAGTGAAGGGAGGTGGAGGTGGCAGTTACTTTGGGGCAGAATGATCAGGATGGAGAGGGGGGTTAGAAAAAAGTCACAAGAAAGAAATCAAACCATGCCTTGAGTCGTGTAGTAAAGCAAGGAAAGATGGAGTGAAAGGTGATTTCAATCCCAGAGAACATCCAGAATGGCATGGTAGGTATAAGGAGACGTGCAGCATGTCCAGGGATGCTACAGGCTGTAAAAGGTGGGCGTGATTACTGAAACAGCGACAGGATAGATGGGAAAAGCTGGCAGTGGCTGAGAACCCGTAGTGATCTAAAGAGGGACTCTAGACAGAGAGGCCATGCCCAGGGCCAAAATAACCTTAGTGACCTTGGTCTGTTGTCTATTTGAAGAGGCTCTGACACATGCTCCATATAAGAGTTTCCAAGCACGATGAAGCAAGAAGAATGTGTTAGCTTGCTGTCACCCACTCATCTGACAGAACAGCTTGAGGAAGGAAGGAAGGCTTCATTTCCTCTCACAGTTTCAGGAGGTTTTGTCCATGACAGGCTGACTCCATGTTTCTGGGCCTGTGCTGAGGCAAGGCATCATGGCAAGGGCATTCTAGAAGAAAAAACTCACAGGGGCATGTTAGAAGAGTCTTCCCTTCCTTGAACACCCTCACAGCTAGTTCACCGAGAGGCATTCTCCACAAATCTCCTAGGCATCTCTCTATCCTGTTGAGATGGCAAACAGGATTAACCATGGCAAATGGGATCTGGTCACCAGGCCTCAACGCTCAACCCTACTCCGGCTCATTTAGTGACAGTCTGACACTCAGAATCAGAACAAGTGCCTAACTGTAGCAGAACTAAAGTGCAGATAGTCGACAGCACCACTGGACCTCTCCTGAACTCACATTCCACGCGGTTCGCTTCGTCTTGCTCGTCAAGAGTGGAGGAATTTACTGATAAGACATCTCAGTCAGGAGGAAAGCCAAAGTGTGTGCTCTTTGTCCTCCTTTATCGTAACTTGGAGAGAAAAAACAAAAAACCCAAACCCACAACCCACGAGGGCCTTTGTTAAGGGAAAACTCAAGCTGGGTAAGAATGCACACCCAAAGAGTAAGAAAACGTTCAAGGTTAGAGTGTTTCTGTGAAAAAAAGAAAAACAAATCAATGACCTAGCTCAGATTCTAGAATCAAAATAATACTGTTTATGTAGAACGTTTTAAAGCCTTTCACTTCCTTGAGTTTTCATAAGAGCCCCAAGGTTTACATCGGAAATTCTCATAAATGCCCCAAGAGAGGCTGTGGGGCTGAGGAAATGGCCCATTCGCTGCTTTCCCAGAGGACCTGGGTTAGGGCCCCAGCACAGTAGCTCATTACCATGCATAACTCCAGCTCCCGGGGACCTGACACTCTCTGCTGGCTCCCATGGGCAACAGACACATACCTGGTATACATACATACACGCAGGAAACACTCATACATATGAAAATAATTCTTAAAAAATACTCCAAGTACTATTTATATGGGTTTAGAATAAGAGATTAGAATATTCTACATACTCTATGTATGCTCAAGAGCCATTATTAGTATTGCTAAATAGACCATGTTGCCTTGCACATTCATGATGAATTACATTCATGTAGTCATTTGGTGTTAAGGTCTTTCTTCGTGTGTAAGGATGACATAAATGAACTCTGCTAATTATCTCTGGTGCCTTGTCTGAGAGGTAATTTTTAAATAACCAGCCCAAATGAAGTTTTCCTCGTGAATGTGTGGAGTAGCCCACAGGAAGACACTTCTGTTTCCATTGCTGCTGCTCTAAAATCGATAGGCACAAAGGAGAGCGGCCGAGGCACCCACGACTGCAGAATGCCGGGGTGGGCAGCTGAGACCCTGGGGCCCTTTCGGCGGAAGCCTCTCTGCGCCCAGTCCACTGAAGCCGCAACCACACCACCACCGTCAGCGGCTCCTCGGAGATGCAGAAGCAGGCGCCATCCGCCGCCAGGTACTTCACTGACCACTGGGTAAAAAGCAAGAAGATTACGTTCGCTTCCCCTTCTCCCGTCAAATAATTACGCTGAACTCTGAAGGGCCCTAAGGCTCATTCACAGGTGGGGAACACTGGACTTTGTCCCTGCCTTGAGGTAAACCACTCAGTTTCAGAAATGGCGAAGTGGAGTCTGTCCCAATCCTCTTCACAGATAGCCATCGCCAGCAAGTTCTTGACTTGAGGTGTCTGCCACTCAGGCCACCCTTCCAGCAGGCAGGCTGCAGGCCTCTTAGAAGCCACAGTGCAGCTCAGCCTGGGGATACCCTACATCAGTTGCTGCCTAGTCATAATGGAGTGTCTGCATTCTAGCCTGTGGCAAACACCAGGAGAACCCGGGAGAAAAGGGTTTCTTTGATTTACAGGTCTGATCCCCTGAGGGAAGTCAGGGCAGGAACTCAAGCGGGAGCTGTGGGGGAATACTGCTTACCGACTTGCTCTCAGGCTCACTTCCAGCTGCTTTCCTTACACCTCCCAGAACCACATGCCCAGGTGTGGCACAGCCCATAGCGAGCTGGACCCTCCCACACCAGTCATCAATCAAGAGAATGCCCAAAAGACACTCTTACAGGTCACTTAGATGGAGACATTTCCCCAGAAGTTCCCTCTTCCAGATGACTCTACTTTGTGTCAAATTGACAAAAACCAGCTCAGGGCGTTTAGATTGGCTAGCCACGTGGACAGGTGTGAGGGGTAGGGGAGCACTATGCTCTGCCTTGGAAAAAGTGGCGCTAAACATTTGGCAGGTTATTTGACAGTTACCCACACAAAAGGTCACCTTTTCTTAACTGAGATGGCTCAGTAAGTAAAGGCACTTGCTCCCGAGCCTGACAGGCTGAATGTCATCCCCTGATCCCACAGGTAGGAGAGAAATTACACACACACACACACACACACACACACACACACACACGCATGTGCTTTAAAAATGACAATAACAAAGTCGAGCCCTAGTCTTAGTAAAAGAAAACTCATTTTAACTAGAGTCTCAGAACTCCAGGCCTTCAAAGGTACTTTAGAGAGTGTCCCATCTATGGAATTTGAGGCTCAGCCAAGACACAGGACCTACAAGTTTCTGACTCATCACTCTCTCCCGAAGCTTACATAGAACTTTCCAGGTCCTGGCTCAGTTCTTCTGGGGTTAAAGATAACATTTTAGCAAGAAACAGAGCCAAGGGGCTAGCATGATTACTTTTCCAAAGAAGGAAATAATTAATACAGTAATAACTAATTTTCTAGGGGAGGAAATAATTAATACAGTAATGACTAATTATAATTAATACAGTAATAACTAATTTTCTAGAGGAGGAAATAATTAATGCAGTAAGAATGTAAACATCACTTTACACTAAATTATAAATAAAATCCTTAAAAATTAAAAAAATCTTTTCAAGGAGATTTCACACCTGTGATAGTGTGCTGAACCACATTACTAAACCATAAACACTAGGGTCCCACTACCAATACCATGACCACCGGCCGCTGTGGCTACTGAGTACTTAACGTGGCTAGTTCAGAATTATCTATGCAGGAAGTATAAAATATATACAGAAGAACTAAGTACCTAAGTATTTTTATGGCTTCACGTTGAACTAATATTTTAGATAAGTTGATTTAAATAAAATGCATTACTAAAATTAATTCTACATGCTTCTCTCTTGCTGTTTTAGTGGTGATTCAAACACTAAAGAATATACTTTCTTAGCAGCAGCCCACAAAACTCTCTAAAATTGATCAGAACTTTGGAGCAGAAGGGAAAAGATCAAGAGAACACCTGTTGAAATGTGCAGTGTTGCACATGGAGTAGTCTCAGTTGGTTTAGAGGGCCTTGTTCTTCTGATGTCCTCCATCTCCTCTGCCTCTTACAATCTTTCCTCCTCCTCTTCTGCAGGGTCCCCAGGCTCTGAGGGGAGGGATTGGAGGGGACATCCCATTAGAGCTGTGTGTTCTCCTTCTGCATGAGGTCTGGGTGTCTGTGTCTGTTCACATCTACTATAGGAGCAAGGCGTTGATCCATGGCTATAGCAGAAAATCATTAGGAGTCATTTCTCGTTAACTTTTTATTTTTTAGACCAGTAGTATTTGGTTTTGCCCTAGGTCTCTGGACTATTTAACCTAGTTCTTGGTCATCCAAGCAGTGTCAGGTATGGGTTCCATCTCAGGGAATGGGCCGTAAGTCAAATCAGATATGTCCTTACAATTCTCTGAATTTCCTCGGTGTCTGTTGTTATATCCCCCTTTTAATTTCTGATTTTATTAATTTCCTTTCAGTTAATTTGCATAAGGGTTTGTCAATCTTGTTGATTTTCTCAAAGAACCAACTCTTTGTTTCATTG